ATTCCCCTTCAAGGCATGTGCCCAGGTTGCGGGCTCAATCCCCAGTTGGGGGATTGCAGGAGGCAGCCCATCAATGCTTCTCTCTCATCACTGATGTTTCTGTCTCTCTCCCTTTCCCTTCCTCTCTGAAATCAATAAAAATATATTTTTTAAAAAAATACTTCGGCCGAAATCAGTTTGGCTCAGTGGATAGAGTGTCAGCTGCAGACTGAAGGGTCCTGGGTTTGATTCTGGTCAAGGGCATGTGCCTTGGTTGTGGGCACATCCCCAGTAGGGAGTGTGCAGGAGGCAGCTGATCGATGATTCTCTCTGATCGATGTTTCTAGCTCTCTATCCCTCTCTCTTCCTCTCTGTAAAAAATCAATAAAACATATATTTTTTTAAAAACAAAAAAAAAAGTTTGTTACATCTGTATTCTCCAGAACATTCCAGGACCAGTGCCATAAGGAGTCGTAGTTAGACTTGCGGGGCTGTGTTTCTGTGGGTGGAAGTGGCATAGTACTTAGTGGTGGAGAGTTTTCCAGAAGATGCAGGTAAACATCATCCCAAATCCCTGCTTTGTCTGCGGGTCCTCAGGCTCTGTGCCAGCCAAGCTGTGAGGTGGGGGCGTGTCCTTGCTTCTGTCTGCAGTGACTTAAGGACAGACACTCAGCCCTGTACCAACTGGCCCACAACTGGGCTTGGAATGCTCGCATCCTGATTCTAACACACCCTCTGGGGGAGGGAGACCTGTTGTATTTTCTGCCCTCAGCAGTGGTCAGGTGGCTTACCTGGATCCCTAGGGCAAAAAGTCTCAGCCTTCGGTTTAGGTCCAGATACTGATCACCCTTCTCTGTGCTTCGTTCTCTTCAGCGATGATACTGCTGTAGCACCCGCCTCAGCAGGTGGCAGGGTCCCTGACCCCGGACTCGGGAGCACGAGGCTGGCGGTCCCGTGGCCTTGGAGAAGGCTGAGGGGCCGTACTCCCTGGGACCATCCTGTGCCCTCCTGCTGTCTCTGGTGAATTCCCTGTCGCTTGGCATTTGCATGTTGTGTTGTAAGAGGCCTGGGGAGGGGAGAGTAGAGCAGCGCTGGCCTGCCTGGCCTCTCCTGCGCCTCAGCCCCTCCACCCATCACATTTCCTCCTTGGCTTCCTCCCTCCACAGAGGGTGTCCTGTGGGGTGCGGAGCCCTGTCCCCAGACCTGCCTTCCATCCTCTGACGTGCCCTGCAGGGCCGCACTCGTGTTGCTGAAAACCTCTCCTCTTCCCGTTGGAGCGTTCTCGGTGTCGGGAGCCGGGGTGTGGGTGTGGCCTTGGCTGAAGGGGCCTCCGCTGGCACACCAGCTATTTCCTCTTGGCTCCGATTTGGCTGTTCACTTCTCTCTGACTTTTTAGTCAGTTGGCTGTATTCCATGCCTTTCTTAGTCCTGCTGGGCAGGTATTTTTCACAGATATTTGAAGCCTCCTTTGTGGGCAACTGAAGCTTCGCTCAGGTATTTCCTGCAAAGGCAGCGTGGTGTTTGCTAATCAGAAGAGATCGGGCGTGTTCAGGGCAGTATGGCTGTAGACTGGTGCTTGCTGATCAGCAGCAGGGAAGGTAACACAGCTGCTCACACGGTGAGCCTGCCTTTCCCTGTGGCTGGTGAATTAGAGCTGCCTTTGCTGCTGGCCGCAGTATGCTGTCTGTCTGCTTCGGGCTGATTCCCAGGCTCTAAACCAGCGGTTCCCACCCTTCCTGGTGCCGCGGCCTCTACTACAGCTCCTCATGGTGGTGACCCCGCCATAACGTCATCTTCGCTGCTACTTCATAACTGTAATTTTGCGACTGTTATGAATCGTAATGTAAATATCTGTTTTTCGATGGTCTTAGGTTGAGAATCGCTAGCAGGGTCACCTAAGACCATCAGAAAACACAGATATTTACATTACGATTCATAACAGTCGCAAAATTACAGTTATGAAATCGCAACGAAATGACTTTATGGTTGGGGGTCATCACCACATGAGGAGCTGCATTAGAGGCCGCGGCACCAGGAAGGGTGAGAACCGCTGGTCTAAACCCACCAGGACACCTGGACTGGTCTGGTAACTCACTGTTAATTGTCATTTTAATTGCGATAACTGTAGATTCACACACATGTAGTTTCCCAGAGTGGTAACTTTTTGCAAAACTAGTTTAATATCACAACCGGGCCCTAACTGCCAGTGTCACCAGATTCCCACTGTCGCCATGACTGTGCGTGTGTGCTGCTGCCGTGGTCTCTCACAGTGTGGAGTGTATGTCCGCCTCTAGGGCCAGGCCCCTGAACAAACCACCACCACGGGGCCTGCTCTGCCCTTGCACACCTCCCTCCCATTCCGATTAACCATGTGAGGCTCACCCACGTCTGTTGTCCACAGTTTTGTGATTGCTAAGTGAATGGTCCATTCATTTGGAGGAATCGGACTGATTCCACTTTGAGCGTTTTGTGCACAGGTTTTGGGGAGTGTTTTCTCTTCTCTTGGACAAATGGCCAGGGAGTGGCATGCTGGGCCCTGAGCCCTCGGTAACTGTTCGTCTGCCAGGCCCAGGCAGCCATCTGGAGGCAGGAGCGTCCTGTGCAGCCCTCTGTCTCTCAGGTCCCACCCAGGACGGAGCCCTCTGTGTATAGTTCCCTCTTTGTTGGGAAGAAAACAAGACGTGTTGGGGAGTATATGGCCTTTCTGCTGCACGGCAGCCGGAGGGGGCCCAGAATGAGCCCCTGGACCCCTTTTGTCCATCCACTCACTCACTCATGCACATTTGGGTTGTTTCCAGAGTTCGCTGTTGTGAACCTTCGTGTGTAAGTCTGTGCAGGCGTAGGTGAGAGCCACACCGCAGTGGGCTGCTGGACCTGTGATGAGTGTGGGTGAAGTGCTGCAGACTATCCTGAAGGGGGCGCAGTCCATGGGAGCGCTCCAGTGCTTCACACCCTCATCCTCACTTTTTTTTTTTTCCTTCCTTGAATTTATTTATTTATTTATTTATTTATTTATTTATTTTTTAAATCAATCTTTATTGTTCATATTATTACAAAGGTTCCTCATTTCTTCCCCCCTCCACCAGGTTCCCACCCCACCCTCGGCCCCCTCCCCATCCCCCATTGTCCTCATCCATAGGTGCAGTTTATGTTCAGTCTCTTCTTCCCTCCCTTTCCCCAATAGTAAATCCCTTTTCAGATAGTAAATCAGTTACTTAGCATTTTCTCATATCAATAATACCTCCACATGCCCAATGATACACTTCACACAAAAGACATTTCCCAATAGGTCCACCAGCCTCATCCAGGCCCCACCCAAGGCACTCACAGATCAACACCCCAGCCCTATACTAACTCAACACATCCAGATCTAAGCCTTCATCACTTGATTCAGCAGACCCTCAAGTTCCCACGAAAGTTTCCAGCCATGTCTGAGAAGCAGCCGTGGGGCAGGGGCAGGCGAGGAGCGAGCTGTTCTGGGCCTGGCTGCTCAGGGCCTGGCCTCTGTTGCTCTGGTTCATTCCACAACCAGCTGCTCTGGGTCTGGTCACTGCCGCTCCCGACCTAGTTGCTCTGGACTTGGCTGCTGCTGCTCCGGGCCTGGCCGCTCCCAGCCTGGCCGCCGCTGCTCCGGGCCTGGCCGCACCCGACCCGGCTGCTCCCCCGGGCCTGGCCGCTCCCAGCCTGGCAGCCGCTGCTCCAGGCCTGGCTGCACCCGACCCGCCTGCTCCCCCGGGCCTGGCCTCTCCCAGCCTGGCAGCCGCTGCTCCGGGCCTGGCCGCACCAGCCCCGCCTGCTCCCCCGGGCCTGGCCGCTCCCAGCCTGGCAGCCGCTGCTCCGGGCCTGGCCGCACCCGACCCGCCTGCTCCCCCGGGCCTGGCCGCTCCCAGCATGGCAGCCGCTGCTCCGGGCCTGGCCGCACCAGCCCCGCCTGCTCCCCCGGGTCTGGCCGCTCCCAGCCTGGCAGCCGCTGCTCCGGGCCTGGCCGCACCCGACCCACCTGCTCCCCCGGGCCTGGCCGCTCCTGACCCGGTCATCCTCAGTTTGACCCATGCTCTTCTAGTGCACAGGCAATAGTGACCAATATATTTTCGTGAATAATTGAACTTGGGGCATGTTGTGATTTTTAAAAGGTGTATGATCTGGTCTGGCTGGCATGGCTCTGTGGTTGATTGTCGACTCATGAACCAGAAGGTCACACAGTTCAATTCCCAGTCAGGGCACAGATTCCCAGGTTGCAGGCTCTGTCTCCAGTAGGGGGCGTGCGGGAGGAGGCAGCCAATCAATGGTCTCTCTTATCATTGATATCTCTATCTCTCCCTTCCTCTCTGAAATAAAAAATATATTTAAAAAAAAAAAGTAAAAAGTGTATGCTTTGTAGAGGTTGGTGTCCTATAAGAATCAGTCGTGGTGTTTATAGTGTTCTTCAGGGAAAAATGGCAGCAGATAAGTGGATGCTACACAGACACGCTCCCAGGACCAAACTGGAATAACAGCTAAGATGGTGTTCTTGGGCCTCAGTGCTGGGGGGCGCTGCCTTTTGTTCTGTCGTTGTGGAGGAAGGAAGGGGTCAGCATTAAGGTTCTTAGCTGTGGGCTACCTGCTTCTCCCTGTTTCTCTCTGTCTCTCTGTCTCTCTCTCTCTCTTGTTCTCTCTCTCTCTTGTTCTCTCTCTCTCTCTTTTTCTCTCTTTTTCTCTCTCTCTCTCTCTCTCTCTCTCTCTCTCTCTCTCTCTCTCTCTCTCTCTCTCTCAGTGTTCAGAGGGTCTCTTATGGACAGCATAGTGAGTGGCTCTTGCATTTTTATCCATTTTGACAATCCCTTCATTTTTCTTTTAGCTATTCATACTCTCTGCTCTAGGGGTTATGATCAATCCACTTAATTTTGAAAGTCAACTTAGGGTAGTGGTATCACAGCCCTCTGCACATACAATTGAAAACTGCTGTGCTGTGGTTGATTCCGTGTCTGTACACTTTATACTTTTTGAGTTTTCTTCAAATTTTTCTTGTAGACTAGCCTACCATGGCCGACCAGCGGCAGCGCTCACTCTCTACCTCTGGGGAATCGCTGTACCATGTTCTCGGGCTGGACAAGAACGCAACCTCAGACGACATTAAAAAGTCCTACCGGTAAGAGCCATGCCTCATTGGTGTGATTGGCACCGACCAAGAACTACCGTATATATTTTTTAAATTTTTTCTTAGCTGACAAAGTGTTTAACACCCTTGTATGTGTAGTGTGTTCCCTTGTAGCTTACAATTGGTACATTAAGTTTTTCAGACTGTCTACCCTGGAGTAGACAGTCGTGCAGCAAGCAGCTTTGACGTGCTGAGCAGGGGCTGTTGGCCGTTGAATGACTGACTTGGTTCCACGCAGTGGTGACAGTCTGCTTGCCCTGTTGTAACATCTGGCTGAACCTGAACGGAACCCTTAGGTACGGTGTCATTGTGAAGCTGTGATGACTAAACACACAACAGAGTGCCGATCAGACCCCTGCCTGCTGCTTTGTGCGGAAGGTGCAGTTAGCCGCTCGGACACTAGAGGGCAGGGCAGGGTTGCCTTTGCGCTGTGGAAAGTTGGAAATAATGGCAGAGATTTCTTTGACCCACAGTTCTTGACTTCTGTGGAGAGTAGGAAAGTGGGATGGTCATGGCAAATGTTCCTTCCCCTGGCCCTACACCCAGTGGGTGAACATGAAACATGAGACCCAGCCATGGTTTTGGTCTGCAGGAAACTGGCCCTGAAATATCACCCAGACAAGAACCCTGACAACCCAGAGGCTGCAGACAAGTTCAAGGAGATCAACAACGCGCACACCATCCTCACGGACGCCACGAAGAGGAACATCTACGACAAGTACGGCTCCCTGGGGCTCTACGTGGCCGAGCAGTTTGGGGAGGAGAACGTAAACACCTACTTCGTGCTGTCCAGCTGGTGGGCAAAGGTGAGGATGTGGAGCCGACGGGGCGGCGGGGCGGCGGGCTCACTGACCCCTGCACGTTCGTGTGCTCTCCCTCCTGACCGTGGTGCTCGGTGGGTGGCTGTGCCCCGCTTATCCTGTGTGTGGGCAGCTATGTGCCTGTCAACTGACGTTTTGCACCCTCCTTTCCTCATTCAAAGCCCCGCCACGTGCGAGGACAGCCCATATCTCCCTGCAGGGCTGCTCTCAGTCCCCTCTGGAAACGGTTTTCTTTACGCACCTGGAGGCTCTGTCCCTCCTGACCCCGTGTTGGTCCTTTCTTACACTCCTCGCTCTGGAGGAGAACAGGAGCACCCGCCTTTCTGTCACTCTCATAGGGTGACAGCAGGTGTGTGTGGGTGCCCTGTTGGGGAGTCGCCAGTCTCGAGCCATCTCAGCCAGCGCCCACCTCCCCTCCCCCAGGCCCTGTTTGTCTTCTGCGGGCTCCTCACCTGCTGCTACTGCTGCTGCTGCCTGTGCTGCTGCTTCAACTGCTGCTGCGGGAAGTGCAAGCCCAAGGCGCCCGAGGGCGAGGAGACCGAGTTCTACGTGTCCCCCGAGGACCTGGAGGCGCAGCTGCAGTCGGACGAGCGGGGTGAGTGCCACCCAGGGCCTGGCTGCGTGTGTGGGGTGGTGCCAGAATGGGCCCTCAACCGTGTCCACCTGTCTTGTCAAACAGGAGGGCACTGACATGGGCCAGGATGTGTGTGGCAGCTGGGCCCGTTGAGGTTGAACGTGGATTTGGAGGTAAAGCAGACGCGGGGCTGTCCCTGCCCGCCAGCTGCGCTAGCTGTAGTCCTGGGGACCGAGCAGTGGGGTGGGCCTCGGGCCAGCGGCAGCCTGAGGCGAGGAGGTGGTCACGCTGGGGGGAAGCCTCTCCCTCCAAGTGCTTGTCCTGCCACTTCTGACCCCAGCAGAGCGACGGAGCATTGTCACAGGAGGATGTGTTGACAGGGCGCATGGTGCACTCGGAAGGCCGCCATCCTCACGCGATGAAAATGCGTGTGATTGCTTTTCAGAGGCCACAGACACGCCGATTGTCATACAGCCAGCGTCCGCCACAGAGACCACCCAGCTCACGGCCGAGTCCCACCCCAGCTACCACACCGACGGGTTCAATTAAATTCAGGAGACGCTGTGACGTGCGGATCAATCAGCACCGGCCACTTCGACCTTCGCATCATGAACTGTAGTCACAGAGGCGGGAGGGAGCCGCTCTGGCCCGGGAAGGACCCTCCGCCTCTGTGCCCACCCACCCGCCAACCCCAACACGTGAAGTGCGTAGCATGCAGTATTTAAAGCAGTTTAGCTACGGTCGCCGTCTTCTGTTTTTCCTTTCTAATAGCATGTGTGGGGTCCGTTCCATGTCTGTCTGTGTTGTGGACGTGCTGCAACGAGACCGCACTGAGCAATGGCGGCACCGCCCGGGCTGTCAGGCCGCCGCCATGAGCTAGCCACGTGGTGTGGTGTCCCCGGCAGTGGAGGGGCCGCCCCGCCCCGTGCTCCTGGGCCGGGGCAGGTGCTGCCTGCAGAGCTGGGGCCTGTCCAGTGGGGCCTGTGCCCTCGCCACGTCCCCGGGGGTTGGTAGCAAGGACAGTTCTTCAGCTGCTGCTCACCTTGTGTGCATGGCCTTGTGACGGGCTTTTCGGGGGGAATGTGTTTGGGGACTGTGGGAGCTCCTGATCTGCGGCCTCCTCAGCCTGGATCCAGCCTGAGCCCCCGTGCCACGAGCTGGGCCGATGGCCACCACCAGCGTCTCCCCTCTCCTTTCTCCGAGTCAGCCTCCACGTCCCTCCAGGCCCTGTGGCCTCTTGGTAACCATTTTGGATGTCAAAAGCACCACAGTAGCAGCCGCAGCCCAGGTCGCCAGTCAGGCTGAGTCCAGGCTGCAGGTGGCACCTGGCTGCCCAGCCTCTTCTCTGCTTTCTGAGCCCCTGCCCCCCTCTTCCTGCAGTTGCTCCTCAGCCAGAGCCCTCAGGGTCCTGAGGAGGTCGCGGGGTCAGAGGCACACTTGGCATGGGAGAGGTGGCCCCGGGGGCCTGCGCCCTTGGCTTGTCAGCCAGCATCTCGCTGCTGCTGCTGCTGTGGGCAGAGCCTTTTGTGAGCTGCTGCACGTCTGTCCTCCTTTCCGGCCCAGGCCTGGGGGGGGTGCCCTGCTTCGGGGACTGAGGAGATGTGGGTTACGATGTACCAAATAGCAGGTTCCCTGCTGGCCATACACCAGCTTCTGGAGGCTCACGGGGCCCACATGGGCCTGTGTCTGCAGAAGGAATGTACTCACTGCTCCTGTGCTGCTGCATCCCCAGGAGAGTGAAGGACAAACGGGAGCACTGGGCGTTCCCTGGCTCAGACAAACCAGATATGTTCCTGAAGCCACTGTCCTCCCCTGTGGCCCTTGCTGCCCGCCAGGCTGTGCTAGCCAGAGCTGTGTGTGGGGGCCTGGCCACTGGCAGAACCCTCCGTCCTAGGACCCTCCTGCAGGCCAGCCTAGGACCTGGGCACTGCTTGGTCCCATTTTGATTTTTGCTCATTTTGGTTAGTGATCATGAAGATGTCCAAGGAGAGGGTATCTGCACGGTGATGTTGGGTTAGAACTAATTTGCTAAAACCAGGCCTCTCCTAAAAGGACAAGAAACTCATTGTTTGGCCCACCGGGCAACGAGGGAGGCGGTGAGACCAGGCCATCCCTGTGCCGCCCCGCTCTGAAGCCTGCGCTGTGGCCGCCGTCCCCGGGAGTGCTCTGAAGTGGTTTGGGCAGTGAGTGCTGTTCCCCAGAATGATCCAGAACCCGGCTAAAACCTCCGCCCAGCCAGGCCCTCCATGTGTGTCCCCGAGTCCCCGCCAGGTGCTGCGGTGGCCTCTCAGAGTCTAAAACCAGATGATGGTGATGGTGCTGAGGACCGCGGGTGGCCCGAGGGCAGGCCCCTTCAGAGTGTGACTGGTTGGTTTCAAGGCGAAGGTCCTGGTGCGTGTCCTCTGCTTGCCTGGCCTGTTTGGTGAGCAGAGTTCTCGAGCCTGGAGAGACACTGGTCCTGCTAAGTGGGGGCAGCCCTGTGCCTTCCCGAGCTGGGCCAGGGGGGCCAGTGCTGGTGTCAGACGGCAGGTGGTGTGTGTGGCCCAGGGTGTTGGGGTCTGTGTGAGAGGAAGCCCATCTGATTTGCTAAGGCAGGGCTGGCCTGCTGGGCAGCCAGTGCTGTGGGCGCCCTGAGGGTCCGGCAGCAGGCCCGGTCCCTGCAGGAAGCATGTCTGACTGCAGCTGCTGTTGTGTAGGTTTCTCTTCTGCTCAGTGCCGTGTCTCGCCTTGTCTTCCTTTTGGCTCTGTTCTCATTTCAAACTGCTTTAGATATTACACTCTGTATGTGAGCCTCCCTCGCTGTCCCATCCTTCCATACAGCTGCCCCGCTGGGATCTGGTACAGGAAGAGGTCAGAGTGGCTGTGGCTGGAGCAGGCAGTGTCTCGGGGCTGTCAGCGGCTGGGTGTCACGGCCAGACTCCTGCCAGGACCATCCTCGGTGTCTAGCGCCGGCCGTCTGTGCCCAAGGAGCCCACACGGTGCTGCCGGCATCGGGGGCATGCTCAGCCTCCCGCCACCAGGCTCTCGGGAGGGGCGGGGAAAGGGGTCTGTCTTTCCTTCCTGGCTCTCATCTCGGCTCACCTTCCCGGGGCGGTGGTGACGGGGGTGAGGCAGGTGGTGGTCTCATTCCTTCCTGTATTCTTAGCTGTGAGCCCGTGCGACCCAGGACTGCCTGCTTGCTTTGTTACTTTGGCTGTGAACCTTCCGCCTATGGAATTGGCGAAAGCTACATTTTTACAGTCCTGCCAGGCACGGTAGTGCCGTCTGTGCTGCAGGTGTGGACAGTGGTGTATCTCCTTGTGTGTACATATGTGTATATGTATATATCGGGCAGCAGGCCGCCTGCTGCTGTCCGGGGGCAGTGCAGCAAGTACAATAAAGGTTGGCTCCCAAACAGCCTGCTTCTGGGCGAGTCCGGGCGGGGGTCCTGAGAGCCCTCTGCTGGCTGCTCCGGGACAGGTGCCGGCGTGTGCCTGAGCCACTGCAGTGTCGGCTTATCGGGGCGGGGTGCCCATCACAATCACACGTCCTGGGTGACATCTGGGCGGTGTAGAAACCCATTCCACTTTGGAACATGTAAAACCAATTTTCTAAGTATCAGATTCAATCAGTGACCAACTGCGTCTACACAGTCTCTGTTGGGACCACAGATGGGCCCGGGCTGCGGAGCGGAGCAGGGCCATGCCTCCCCGCCAGGAAGAGCGAGCGGCCTGGGCCTGGCCACACCTTAGGCTTTGTTTCCCTGGAGGAGGGACTCATGTTTCACACTAAGGGAGGGAAGCGGTTTGCACTGAAATGTATTGACGTTTTTAAAACTTAAGTGCGATGCGTGGGAAGCATTGTCCGCGCTGGCTTTGTCCTGGGAGCAGACCTGGCGGAGCCAGGGTGCCTCAGAGTGGATGAGGGCCAGGTGGGAGGGTTAGGATGTTCCCCACAGTGACCTCCATCTTGTATGTCTGAATGTTGACCTAGAATAAAGATAACTGTTGTAAAATAAATGTTTTCACTGCAGACCAGGCGTGTCTTATTTAGTTCTCCCTGCAAGAATTCTGTTGGCCAGTCCACCTTGGGGGTCCCTCCTCAGTCCCCTGGGGGCGGGAGGCCACGCCCACCTGCCTGTTCCAGGGATGGCTCGGATGGCCCTCCTCCACTTTCTATCTGCTGAGACCGGGTGTAAAAGGAGCCCTGAGAGCCTGGACCAGGGCAGCCCTCTGAGGGCAGTGCCAGGGGCTCCCGCACTGCCACCCCCACCCCTGGAGGCAGCAGCTCCACTCCTTCCACCCAGCTGCTGAGCTGCTGCCAGCGCTCGGCACAGAGGGCATGATGGCCCCTCTCAGCTGCGCCGGCGCTCTGTGCTGACCACCTTCGGACCTGGCCACTCAGGCCTGCCCCACCGGGACATCCCTGTGGCAAAAACTCGGGTCCTCACTCCTGGACACCACCGTCCCCCCTGGGTCATCTGTCTCTGAGCCGGTGGTGCCCATTCCTCCTCAGGGTATCTCCTGGGCAGGGCCCATCCTCCCACCACGCTGATGGCAAGAGGAGAGATGTCCCTGCACTTAGACCACCTTTGGTGCCTGTGCCTTGCCCCTGAGATGAGAGGTGCCAGCTCTGCTTCCATGAGTGTGTCCTGGGGCTTCGTGTCCAGCCACGTGTCTCCTGCGCACACGGGCTAGCAGCCACTCTGAGCCGGAAGGCCCAGGGCCGTGGGCAGAGCTGTCCGTGGGGTAGGGCTGGGCCTTTGGTCTTAGCTCAGGGCAAGGCAAAAACATTCTGAAAAGGTTAAACCTGCACGGGCTCTGGCCAAGTCGCTCAGTTGGTTAGAGCGTAGTCCTGATACAACCAAGTTGTGGGTTCGTTCCCCCGTCAGGGCCACTCGGAGGCCTGCCCCCCCAGGAAGCATCTGGGCCTGCGCCCTGACCGGCGTGGAGGTCTGGTTTGTGTGTTCTCACTCTGAGCAGTGTCCACCAGCTGAAGGACCACAGCGCCTCGGCCGCGCTTTGGGGTGTGGTGGTTTTAGGTCTCCGAGGAGGAGCAGGCCTGCCCCACCCTGCGCCTTCCCTGGGCTGCAGGCCCCTCCCACCTTGGTGTTCTGAGACATTTTTCCCTGTTGTCTACTCTTCTTTTTTTCTTTTCTTTTTTTAAATTTTTTTATTGATTTCAGAGAGAAAGGGAGAGGGAGAAAAAGATAGAAGCATCAACGAGGAGAGGGTCATTGATCAGTTGCTTCCTGCATGCTTCCTACTGGGGTTCAAACCTGCAACCCTGGCATGTGCCCTTGACCAGAATCAAACCCGGGACCACCCTTTAGTCTACAGGCTGACGCTCTATCCACGGAGTCAAACTAATTAGGGCTTGTTTACTCTCCTGATTATCCTAATTAGACCACGATTATATTCATTATTTTCTCTGTGGGATTCTGTGGACCATCATGAAGTAATCCAGTCCTCCAGGCCCCGCTGCTGGCAGGGCTCCCTGCCAGGGACACAACCAGGGACAGGAGTTAGCAGGGGTGTGGTCTACAAGGAAGGGCAGGGGTTGTTGGAAGCCTCTCCACCCTTTTCCTCTTCCCCCGCCCCTCCTCCACCCTGGACCTGGCGGAGGGAGGGCTGTGTCCAGGTGGCCCACCTGATGGGGCGAGCGCTGGGCTGGAGGAGCTTGACCCAAAGGTGAGTGGTCCCCGGGGGCGCCCTAGGCCAGACCTCCTGAGTAGCTGCTCCGAAACCACGGGTCTGCTGCGTCAGATCTCCGCTGACCCCATGGTCATGCCAGTCTGTATGACCACTGAAGGAGTTTATTGCAGAAGCTGGTGGGAATGGCCTGCAAGGAACACGTGGGTTCCTGTGGCAAGGACAGGCAGGGACCTGGGACCTGGGCGCCAGGACCACATGGGAACTTCCTCTGCTCAGTAACCACGGCAGGACCTGGGGAACCAGGGGAGGATCCGCAGGGCACGTGCGGTCCATGCGCAAAGTGAGACGTTCTCCCCTCGCTGCCGGCTCCGGGCACCCCAGCCAGCCAGCGAGCAGGTCCCCTCCTGGTGGTGGTCTGCCTGTCTCACTGTGCCGCACGCCCACTCCAAGTCTCGGAGAGGGGGAGCCCCTAAGCTTCTGCTTTAGAGGGGTAAATCCTGCTGGGCACCCCAGTTTGTTTATTTTTTTAAATATATTTTATTGATTTTTACAGAGAAGATGGGAGAGGGATAGAAAGTCAGAAACATCGATGAGAGAGAACCATCTATCAGCTGCCTCTTGCTCCCCCCTACCGGGGATGTGCCCGCAACCAACGTACATGCTCTTGACCGGAATCAAACCTGGGACCTTTCAGTCCACAGACCGACGCTCTATCCAGAGCCAAACCGGTTTTGGCTGGGCACCCCAGTTTAGATGCTGGTTCCCCAGAGCTTAGGAAGTGTCTGAGGCACCACCCCCCACTGGGACAAGGCCCCTCTCCCCTAGATGCATTGTTCCCCAGCCCTCAACACCACTGGGACTGGGGTGCATGGAGCCTGAGGGAAGGTGAGGGCTCAGCTAGCCCCACACCCAGCCACGTGGCACCTGGTGATCCTGGCTCCTAGCTGGAAGCCCATTGGTGAGCAGATGTGCCAAGGGACCCGCATCTGGAGGAGGCCCACCTGTCTAGCATTTGCCCAGGGGATATGTCACCCATGAAGTGGCCTTTGCTTCCAGCCTCGTTCCTCCTCCAGCCCCATCACAGACCTGGTCCCACAAACCCCATGTGGGAATTGCCCCCTTCTTCCCTTTTAACCCAAGCACAGCCAAATCTACCTGCTACCTCCTGCCCCACCACCTCCCACCTCTGAATCCTATGCACCCTCCCCTCCCCTCCCCCACTCAGCTTGACCTAGAAGAGCCTGAACACCCCCCGCCCCCCCCCCCCCCCCGGCCTCCAACCTAACGTCTGGCCCAGGGGCCAGAGCAGAAGGTCTTCCCCGATGCCCTTGGGACTGCACCAGGCCTGGGGCCCAGAAATCCAAGTGAGGTGCTTCCTGCCTCCAGGTGTGCCAGCTGAGGCACCAGGAGGCCCTGCCAGTCCTCCAGACCCTGTGGGCATGTGCAGCATGCCTGCCTCCGTGTGACAACCACATGTGCCTGTGGAAGCCACTGCGGGGAAGGGCCAGCACCTCACAGGCTGACGAACCTGAGATTGACCTGGAGACACCATTCTCAGGTTGGTCAGCCCTGGAGGCACTGCCCAGGGGCAGCTGGCAGAGCCCTCAGCAGGCAGGTCTCTCCTGAGTGCACCAGAAGCTTCCGAACCAGTATAGGAAGTGGCTCCAGGTCTGCATCCTGCCCAACTGTCCCTCCCCAGGCTCTGTGGAGAGGTCCAGGCTGCAGCCCCGTCCTCTCACTCTCTCCTCCAGGTGAGGCGCTCAGAAAGGCACTCGAAGGCCACTGGCTCCCAAGTCCCAGTCCGATGTCAGAGAGCACCCGGGGTGGGCACATCCACCTGAGGGCACCGAGTCTTCTCCTCAAACTGGACTCTCCTCGTGGGTCCGTAGCTTTCTAGGTGCTGCTCCCTGGACAGCTTCGGACCTTGGAACCTGGGAGGCTCCCGGTGCAAGAGGAACTGCCCTCCTCCCATTGGCTCCCAATTGCCTCCGCCACGGCTGTCTGGAAGGTGACCCACTCCCACCACGCCAGGGGCCCCTGGCAAGAAATGGGCCCAACAAGTCTAACGCGTGGCCAGGTCTCCCTGAGCTGCTTCTGATGGGGCGCGCTGGAGGAGACGGGCCCCTAGGGCGGGGGCGGCTGCACCCTCCTCCGAGCACACACGCCTGGTGTCTATGGGTGGACTGCTGCTGCTGCATGAGCGTGACTGGTGGTATCGGCTCATGCACGTGTTAGTTTTCTGGGAGCTGGACTGGGCCCACCCAGGAATGACCTACCCCACCCGGCTAACTGTGCACCCCCGTCCTCATCCACAGAATGGCGTCTCCCCTGCCTCGTGGCCCTGTCGCACCTCCGGAGGGGCCAGGCCTGCCACAGCCTCAGGTCCCCAGCACTCAGCACAAGAATGAGTGAGCGAAGGGACGGGGCCTTGGGGACAAGGGATGGGGAGACTCACCAGGTTCGGGAGAAGCCCTCCTGCTGACCTTGGGCCCCAGGTCGTTCCTGTCCCTGGACCCTGGCCACCCCTTGGACAAGCCTCCCGCCTTTATCTGCCCACCCTTGGCCACACCCCACCCAGTGACTTCCTGTCTCCGCCCATGACAAGCTTTTCCATTACATGGCCTTTGTGGGGTGCGGGGAGACCAAAGACACTGGGGGACAGGAAAGAGACCAAAGCCAGGGCGGGAGGGTGGGGGAGGGCGCTGGAGCCTGACAGCTCACTTAGAGCAGCCCAGCCATCAGTATCGTGCGCCCTCACCCAGGCAGGCCTGCCACCGGCAGCTGAGGAGCCAGGAGCGGCAAAGGCTAGCCGCACGAAGTGCACAGGCGACCAGCTGACGCTCTGGCCCTCCTGCACCTGGGGTTCCGGCTAGTGGCTAGGACCCGCTCATCACGCCCTCCTGCAGCTGCCCGCGCACTGACTTCCGCTGGCCGCCTGCCTAGTCCACACACTGGGGGTGGGGCGGCTGCCTGCAGAGGCTGCCTGGGCGACCCCTCTCCTAACTCTGGCCTGAGCCTGAGGCAAGCACGGCCAGGGCGCCAGAGCGCAGGCCCCAGACCACACCTCCATGCTGCCATGCAGCTAGCAGCTCGGGGGCCATGCCCAAGCCCAGTCTCAGGCAGAACAGCATTCCCAGGCGCCAGCTTATTGGTCAGAATTTCAGTTTTTCTAAAAATGTATTTATTTTTCGAAAGGTACAGATGAGTTACGACGGAAAGGTTGTTTAACCAGAAGAGTCCATGTCGTCCTCTGAGCAGGGCCAGGAGGCAGGTGGTTGGGTGGAGACGCAGATGACAGAGGCTGGCGGCTGGCTAACCCGTGGAGGCCACTTCCTCCTCGTCGCTGCCTTCGGGGACGGCGTCTGTCCCAAAGTAGCGGTCACCGAAGTTCCCTAGAGAAAGCAGCAGACCCTGTGGTGGGGACGCGGGCCCGGAGGCCCCGTGCCCGCCCTGGCCGGCAGCCTCACCGATGCCCGGGATGATGCGGAACAGGTCATTGACACGCTTGTCCACGGCCGTGGTGATGATTCTCACGCGGGGAAACGCGTAGGCCACCGAGTGAACGCCCATCTCCGCCATGAGCAGCGACAGCAGGAAGATCTTGTCTTCGGGCACGTCGTGGTCCTGCGCCAGAGGGACGGGGTGGGGAAGCCGGCCCGCCCGGCCGCCCGGCCGCCCACAGCCGCCGGCCCACTCACCAGCAGCACGCGCACAGCCATCATGGCGGCGGCGCCCGTGGACACGGTGCAGTCCATGAGGATCACGTGGTCGTCGCTGATGTCCTTGGGCAGCCGCAGGTAGTGGAGCTGGGGGAGCCGGAGCGTCAGGGGACCCCGGCCCAGCCCCGCCCCGCGGCCGCCCGGGCCCCGGGCCGCACCTCGGGCTCGCCGGTGAGCTGGTTGGTCTGGATGAGGATGGTGCCGATGCGCACGTCCTTGCACACCGCCCGCAGCGCCGGCTCCATGGTCTCCCCCGCCCGCAGGATGGACACGCCAGTGATCTGAGGAGGACGCTGCGCTCACCGCGGCCTCACAGGCCGCCCACCAGCCCGCCGGCCGGCCCGCCGCGCCCCAACCATACCTGCTTCCCCGCGTAGCACTTGCCGGCATAGTCCTGCCCCTGCGGGGTCTGCACGACGCAGTCCTACAGCACAGGGCCGCGGGTGAGCCCGAGGGGCCGCCCCTGCCCCCCCCCCCCCCCCCGCCCCGCGCACCTGGAAGGGCAGGAAGGTGAGCGCGAGGGGCCGCCCCTGCCCCCCCCCCCCCCCCCCCCCGCCCCGCGCACCTGGAAGGGCAGGAAGGTGAGCGCGAGGGGCCGCCCCTGCCCCCCCCCCCCCCCCCCCCGCCCCGCGCACCTGGAAGGGCAGGAAGGACAGCGCGTGCTCGATGAGCAGTCGCATCAGCCTCTTGGAGTAGAAGATGAACTCATCGCGGCTGGTCTCCTTGTCCCTGTGGGCCTGGGCGTCAGCGAGGGTGGCTGCCCGCTGCCCGCTGCCCGCTGCCCGCGGCCCGCCCGCCGGCTCACCTGATGATGGTGTGCATGCCCCGCACCTGCGGCGTGCTCTTGAGGACACTCAGCGTCCGCGGCAGCGGGTGGCACTGGTGGGCCGAGGCCAGCGCGGCCCTGGGGACACGGGCGGACTGAGCGCTCCCCGCCTCCCGCCGCGCGGCAGGGGGCGCCCTCCTGCGGGTCCTCGCCAGCCGGGAGGCCTGGCCGAGACAGCCGCCTCAGGGGCAGGAGGTTAAGGACAGGAGGTTAGGAAGCCAGCTGCAGGGGAGGGCCAGGCGTGGGCGGGCCTCAGCCTCCAGACACCGCCCCTGAGGCGGGGACCTCCTCCCAGCCCAGGCCACTGGGCCTTCACAGCCTCCTTCACGGCGTTCCCAGCGGCAGCTTAAACCGCCTGCTCTACGGTCACACATGCAATCAACCGCCTTGGCAGGGCAACACCCCATGGTTTCGAGGGCCAGACACTGGCAGCGGTTCCCCCTGCTCCAAGCCCTGACCCTTCCCCAGGGGAGGTGGAGCCCTCAGGAGAGGGGGCCAGTCGGCTGAAGCTCCCCTGCTGCCCATGCCTGGAGGAGCCAGGGAGCAGGAGAAGGGGACAGGGATGGGGAAGGTCAGGGGTAGCCAGGGGAGAGGAAGGGAGGAGGGGAGGGGAGGGGAGGGGAGGGAATGGGAAGGGAGAGGAAAGCAGGAGAGGAGAAAAGGGGAGGGGAAGGCAGGAGAGGAGGGGAGGGGAGGGGAGGAGAGAGGAAGGCAGGAGGGGAGGGGAGGGGAGGGGAGGGGAGGGGAGGGGATGGGAAGGGAGAGGAAGGCAGGAGAGGAGGAAAGGGGAGGGGAAGGCAGGAGGGGAGGGGAGGGGAGGGGATGGGGAGAGGAAGACAGGAGAGGAGGAAAGGGGAGGGGAAGGCAGGAGAGGAGGGGAGGGGAGGGGAGGAGAGAGGAAGGCAGGAGGGGAGGGGAGGGGAGAGGAGGGGAGAGGAAGAGAGAGGAAGGGAGAGGAAGGCAGGAGAAGAGGAAAGGGGAGGGGAAGGCGGGAGGGGAGGGGAGGGGAGGGGAGGGGAGGGGAGGGGAGGGGAGGGAGGGGAGCGGAAGAGAGAGGAAGGGAGAGGAAGGCAGGAGAAGAGGAAAGGGGAGGGGAAGGCGAGAGGGGAGGGGAGGGGAGGGGAGGGGAGGGGAGGGGAGGGGAAGGCAGGCGGGTGCAGCCCCAGCACAACCCCAGGCACCACACCAGGCACTGCACTCGTCCTCACATATCCCAGCGCAGCTTCCTCTGCTTGCCAGGTGAGGAGGCGCAGAGCATGTCGGGGAGGGAAGGGCAGGGCAGGCCCCCAGGTTTACAGAGGAGGAAAGAAGAGAGAAAAGGCCGCTCAGCAGGAAGCACGGCGGCCGGGCAGGCCAGGACCAGCTGGGGAAGCCCTGGCAGGTGGCCAGGTGCCATCGGCCCACAGGCAGCACCTCCCGGCTGCGGAGGGGGCGGTGTGGCCGCCGAGGGACGGGACTGGCAGAGGAGGGCCTGGCAGGGCTGCGCGGAAGCTGGCCAGGAGACCGCGGCCGGGGCTGGCGAGCGGGGACCCCGCAGCGGCCGCAGGGGCTCTGAGCATGAGCTGGGGCTCCCGCCAGGAGGCTAGCCCAGCACCTCCTGACTCCACAGAGCGCGGTCACTCCTGCGCCCTCCTCACGGAGGACAGGACAGCACCGGGGGCAGTGCCAGAGGGCTGGGCACTGCCACCTGGGCAGGCACGCCCTTCTGATCAGGCAACTGTGCACCCGGCCCTCTGGCTGCCGAGGGACGTGCCTGTGGCTAGACAAGTCCCGGAGCCTGCCTGTGCCTCAGTTTCATCTGCCCAAAGGAAAGGCAGAAGCGGTGGCTGGACAGCTGCCGAGTGGGCGCAGCAGCGAGGACAGCCGGCCCGGCGCCTCGATGATCAGTGCTGGGAGGGCCTGCCTGCGGACAGTGCGGGGCATCTTACCTGACACTGAGCTCGCGCTGCGGCAGTGACAGGAGACAAGGGAACAGTGCATCAATGGCGGCGGCACACTCACCTCAGTCACCGGGCAGCCTGCTGCTGCCGTGTGCCCCCCGCCCCGGGAATGGGCATCCCACATGGGGGACAGTCCCAGTCACTAGAGGGCCTCTCCTTAGAGCCTCCGCCTGGGCGCCCTCCGGCCTGGGCAGGCAGAGCCTCAGATCTCAGCCCAGAACATGTGACCTTTGGTCGGGGTCCCGCTAAGGGGGCTCAGGACGTGCGACTTGCGCCCAAACCCAGTCCCTCCAAAGGGTGGGAGGACAGGAACGGCCCCTCTGGGCAGGCTCAGCTCAGCCGGGAGCCCCACGTTCTCAGGGACCCCCGCTGTGTCCACACCCACAGGACTGACAGCGGACAGCGGAGCACGTGGGGCCGTGGGCAGGCTATGGGTGGTGGCGGCGGGTCCCGGCGGGGCTCACCTCCTCCAGCTGGCTGTGCACGTGCTGGACGATCAAGTCAATGGCCACGGTGTTCCCGCTCCCTGGGTGGGAAGGCAGGAGGGTGACGGGCGGGCGGGCGGCCGGGGGCGGGCGCGCCCTGCCCCGCAGCCTCACCTCGGGGCACCACGATGTCGGCCAGGCGCATGGTGGGCTGGATGTACTGGTCGAAGGCCGGCTTGACGAACTTGTTGTACTGCTTGATGACACCCGCAATGTCGCGGCCACGCTCACTGATGTCCCGGCGGAGCCGCCGCACGAGCCGGATGTCCGAGTCCGTGTCCACGAAGATCTTCATGTCCAGGAGCTGGAGGGGAGCAGCACACAAGCCGAGCACATGAGGGCCTGGAGGGCGGGTGCTGCCAGCCAGGTCCGGCCCCAGGGGTTCGACCTCCGCTCCCCTAGGCAGCCTCCCTCACGGACGCTCTCACACGGTGAGTCTGGGGTCTGTCCCCACAGAAGCCATGGGGGCGCTAGGGGTAGCGCACGGCTGTGGGCCAGGACAGGGAGTGGCCAGGCTGTCCCTGCCCCCGGGCTCAGGAGCACCCTGTGCGGACCCCCGGACAGACGGGGCGGTTCCCTCAGACACCACATGCACAGGAGCCATCACAGCCATCACCCCCAACGCCACAGCCATCTTGGCAGCCGCAGAGACCGCAAGGATAGCAGAGAACACCGACAGGAACGTGGTGTGCGCGGTGGGGGCAGAAAGGAAACCAAGGCACCAGCCCTGATCAGGAAGTGTGGCCCTCGGCCTGCCACCAGCGGCATTCTCATCTGTGTGGCAGACCTGCTCTGCCGCTCACACCACATCCTGGACCCTCCTGGGGGAGGGCCGAGCGACAGGGCCCGCCTCACCTCCAGCAGCGTCTTGTCAGCAAAGGCCATGATGCCCTCGAAGATGATGACGTTGGCACCGTAGAGCGTCTTCTGCAAAGGGAAGGAGCCTGTGCTGGCGCCTGTGCCCGCCACGTGCCCAGCGCCCCGCCGGCTGCGGCCTACCCAGTCCTTCTTGCGGCTGTGGGTGGTGAAGTCGTACACGGGGACCTTGGCGCTCTTGCCCTGCTTCAGCTTCTGCAGGGTGGCCACGAGGAGGCCGAAGTCGAAGGCGTCCGGGTGGTCGAAGTCATAGTTGTGGAGGGCAGCCTGCTCCTGCTGCTGCCGCGTCAGCACCTGAGGGCGGGCGCGCTCAGTGCGGGCGCGGCCGGGGGGGGGGGGGGGGGGGGGGCCGCGAGCGGCCACCGCCCGCACCTCACCTTGTAGAAGGAGTCCATGGACAGCAGGACCACCCAGGGCACGTCCAGGGCCTCGATGATCATCCTGGCCACCGTGGTCTTCCCAGAGGCACTGCCGCCGCCCAGGCCTGCGGGAGCCCAGGAGGGGCCGCACGCCTGGGTCCCAGGGGCCGGGGCCAGGGGAGCCCTTCCGACCGTCAGCGCCCGGAAGCCTGCCCCCGGCGCGACCGGCGGCCCCGCTCACCGATGACGAAGGCCTCCTTGGACTGGGTGCCGTGCTCGTTGTACCAGGGCGGCCGGCCCGCCGTGTAGATGGTGCGCTTGCTGGTGCGCAGCAGCGGCGGCTCGGACCTGCACTGGCTGGTGGTGCGCTTCCGCGGTGCGCGCCCCGCGCCCACGGGCGGGAGCAGCCGGTCCAGGGCCTCGGCGCTGCTGCTGCCGGAAGGAGAACAGCTCGCTCGGCGTGGCTGGCTGACTGCTCCCCGTGCGGGCACACAAACCCGCTGCCCCGGCCCACGGGCTGTGGCCCCCGGCACTGTTCACCCAGGTTCAGAGGAACAGAAACCGCCACGGAGTGCAGGGGTGCCACCCTGCAGGGCAGGGACTGGACGATGCAGGAGGGAGACTGAGCTGGGAGACCCTCGGGAGGCCCTGCCTCTCGCCCTCCGGCACCCCGCAGAGAGGGCACCCCGCAGACGGCGGGGAGGGGCGGAGCCACACGTGCCGCGCTGCTCAGGGGGGACTTCCTCCCGCCTGAGGCCCCAAACCAACAGGCCTGAGCGGCCTGGCTGACCTGCTCAGGAAAGGCCTGAGGCGGGCGGGGACACGGGAGGTGTCCAGGACGTGGGTGGGCGAGCAGTAAACGAAGATGTCGATGTGACCGCAGCCTGCCTGCCTCGGGCCCGCGCACAGTGGGCAGAGCCACCGCTGCCCTGGGCCCGGGTCTGGAGCAGGACTTCGGCCCTCGTGAGCGCCTCACGCGTGTGCCTCTTTGTTATCAAAACCAGGCCGAGTCCTGGGCTGGGTTGCCGCAGTGCCAGGGTGCCTGGGCACCTGCTGGGGCAGCAAAGAGGCGACGCGGCCCCCACAGGCACACCACAGCCTCGAGGGCAGAGGGCGATGTCTGCAAGGAAGGGGCAGGCAAGCCCACAGCGCTGAGAGACACGGCCCCGTGGAGGTGTGTGGATGGGTGTGAGACAGCCATTACCTTCGGCTCTGCCCAGACCCGGTGCTAATGATCGCATGACCCGGTGGCAGGCAGGCCTGGGACAGGCCACAGCACCGCGTGGACGTGAGTGCCGGGGAGACTCAGACTGGCACGGACCAGCCGCCCCGGAGACTGACGGTGTCCCCAGGCCCCGGTCACCCTGGAAATGGCAGACGGAGCATCCAGGCAACAAGGAAGCCCCTCCCTCTCTGCTTTCTGCTCTGGAGGAAACCCTGAGAATTATGGTTTGCAAAGGGCAAGATCAAGCCAGCAAGGCCACCCGAGCTGAGGATGGCCTTGCAGAACGGACCCGACAGGAGGCCAGAACTGGCACCGCTGCTGTCCCTCTGCTTCTCACCCAGACTGGTGGCCTCCGGAGGGAGCCTTCAGGTCCCTGCAATGACCACTGGCAAGGACGGCTTCCAGCTGGTACTGCAGCAGCCTGGGCAGACCCTCGGGCCGGGGAAGTGGGCAAGGAGGACTGCCAGAAAGCCGCCCGCCTCCGCATGCAAGGGGCCTGCAAGCGTCAGGCCGGGTCTGCAGCCAAGCCAGCTCCGGCCTTCTCCAAGCCTGGCTCTCTGGGAGCCGGGCAAAGCCTCACGCGCCCTCAGAGCGAGCCGCTCACAGGGGCAGATCTGATTTCGATGAGGCAAACTGGCGGACCTTGTTCCCTGGTCACAGGCGGACAGGGCACGTGACTACGATGACAGGGCAATTCAGCGACGGGCCTGGGAGACGCCCGCCTGCAGTGAGCAGCCCCGTGCCTGCGGGTGGCGGGCCCTCCCGCCCCAGACCTGCCTGGCTCCTGCTCCTGATGTGCAGCGCCCCCGACAGGAATCGACCGAGATGCAGGGGCGGCGGGCTCTTCCCCATGGCTGCGGACAACCGGTCTGCCACTCACCTGCCTTCTGCTCCGAGGGCCCAGCACCCTGAGATCCTGATGCCAGGGTAAGCTGGGGGGCTGCTCATGGCTGGACAGATGATCCGAGGTGTCTGCAGGGGCACCCCACACTACCTTCGGTCCACAGCAGCCCCCTAGGACAACTCAGGAGCCACGTGACTGCCCCTCCATGGGGGGTGGGCAGCCAGGATGAGGCCAGGCCCTGGCTGCAGAGGCGACCCACTGGGAGGCAGGGAGCAGCAGCTGGGAGGCCCCTCGGGCCCCTGTGCCGAAGGAACAGCTCACCGCCGGCCCAGAGCCGAGGTCACAGGCGTAAGAGGATCACCCCGTTGGGGCTGAGCACTCGCCTGGTGTTAATAGCGCCGCCCCTGCTGGAGAACAGGCAGCCTCGGTGTGACCTGCCCCCGGGCACCCTGAAACACCCTGAAAAGAGCTTCCGAGCCCGGGCCTGCCTCAGTGCAGGGGCGTCTGAGCTCGGGCTGGCCAAGCAGTGGTGAATGTCGCTGCGGAGCTGGGCCTCCCGCCGTCCCCAAGGTGCCTCCTAGAGGCATAAACAAATCTGAAACTCTACCCTCCTGAGCCTCTGAGAATAACCCCTGCCCCGCCCTCCACAGAGGCTCCGAGCTCATGTGGGGGATGACACCGCATGCCCCGCCTGGCTGCGAAGGGGAGCGGGTTCGGGAAGGGGAGTCGCTAAAGGAGCAGGGCTGTCTCCATAGGTCCCGAACCCTGCCCCTGAGGCCCTGCCTGTCGCTGGCTTTCCCTGTCTGTTTCAATCCTCAGGCGCTTTTCCCTTCACTTTCAGAGAATGGAAGGAAGGGAGAAGGGGGGGGGGGGGAGAAGAAGGCGAGAGGGGGGGGAGGGAGAGAGAAAGGGGGGGAGGGAGAGGAACATCAATGTGAGACACATCTATTGGTTGCCTCCCTCACGCGATCCATCTGGGGCTGGGATGGAACCAGCAATGGTGGTCCATGCCCTAGATTGGGAATGCAACCTGAGACCCTTCGGTCTGCGGGCTGATGCCCCAACCACTGAGCCAAACCAGCCAGGGCCAGCTTTCCTCCTGACTCAGCTTCCAACAACATCCGTATGGCTGCCAGAACCTCACCAGAGAAAACCCCAATGGGTTCAGATATCGGAACAGGCCTCTCCTGTCTGCCAGGAGGCATCTGGAGGCAGGACGGGCCTGTCTGGCTTTGCCCACAGGAGCTTCCTTCCTGACCTTGGGCTTGGGCAGATGGGGAGGCTGGACAGGACTGCAGATTGGGGCCGGCACCCAAGGCTTCCACTCCTGCCGGACACCCCGTCCCGGCTGAGGGAAGTTTGCCGAGAAGTGAGTGAAATGAGGCAACGGGTAGGGAGAGAGGGGCTGGTTCACCAGGGCCGGGCTCAGGGACAGAGGGTTCAGGTGTCTTTCTCAGGGCAGGTGCAGGAATGGGGCTGCATCCCCACCCCACCACCCTGGAACCCCGGCAGGACCCCTCCTTCCCAATGCTCTGGGCCAGCCTCTCTGCACCCCTCAGCTACAGCCCCAACCCCACCTGGACCAACCAGGACACAGCCTGAGGAGCAGGCACCACCCCGGGTGCCCATTTGTCCACCAGCACGTCCAGGGTTAAGGGAGTTCGAGGTCCCTGTCCTCATGGGGCTGACCCTCTACGGGCACAAGAAACAATGGCAAGATGGACAGGCCACAGGTGTGCCACAAGGTGGAAGGAAAAGGTGGGACGGTGGGCAGGGAGAGGCTCAGGGACCCTGGGCTCCAGCAGAGCCAACTCCGGGCCTCCAGGGGGTGCAGGGACTGCAGGGGAGCTGGGCCTCAGCATCAGGAAAGGGCAGTGAGCAGCGCCAGGGCAGACCCCTGGTCCCCAGAGCTCTGCAGTCCAGTCACTGCCCTCCGGTCCTGGGTCCCGTCCTGTGCACAGGGCAGGGCCCGGACTGTAGCTGCCACAGCCCGTCTTCAGGGAGGGCTTTTCTCAAGAACTTGCCTGGCCCTGCCTCCTCTGAGCTCGGGCTAAATCAAAGACCCTGGAACCAGCAGGTGCCACCGACAGGTCCTATTAGAGCCTGTCAACCCGAACCAAGCTCTTAGTACCAAGCTCTTAGTCGCTGCCACTGGGAGGGTGTGAGCCTCGGAGGACACATGTCCGTCAGAGCCCACGCAGCCTCTTCCTGCCGACACTCCGGCGGGAGCTGCCAAGGCAGGCGCGGGCCTAACTCCTCTCCCCGCAGCGCCCAGGCGGCCCTCGGAGCCCAGGCGCCCAGGGGAGCCCTCCGCGAGCCTTCCCCAGGGCCCAGCTCAGACCAGCCGGGAGGCGGCCTTCGCCCGTGACGGGGAGCTCCACACCGCCCCCTGGTGGCGCGGGCCCCGGAGGCACCGAGCAGGAGCCAGTTTGCTCTCGGCACTTCCGCCGCCCAGCCCGCCAGGCTCCGCCCACCCCGCCCACCGGCCCGCGCGAACCCCCGCCGAAGCGGGAGGGCGCCCCCCGGGGGGCGGGCGGCAGAGGGGAGTCCGAGCGCCACCCGCCCGCGGCCCGGGAGCGCCGGCCTCTCGGGGGGCGGGGCGGTCCCGGGAGAAACGGACCCCGCGGGGCGCCCGGCAGGCACGCGCGGCAGCCCGGGTGCCCAGCTCCCTCCGCCGCGGAGGGAAACCCGCCGGCCTCGGGGAGACGCGCTCCACCCGCCCGGGCTCAGCCCCGCGCCGCCCGGCCCTCCCGCCGCGGCGCGGAGGGACGGGCGGACCCCGGCCGCACGCGGCCGCCACGCCTACCGGTCCTCGCTCTTGGCCACCGTTCGGTCCGTCCCGTCTCCGGCCGCGGCCGGCGGCGGGGCCGCGCGGGGAGCGGCGGCGGAGGCCGGGGGCGCCGCCATGAGCTGCAGGCCTCGGTGCTGACGAACGGGCGGGTGGGCCACTCCCGCCGCAGTTCGGAGCCGGCCGGTGCGTCCCGCGGACTACAAGTCCCACAAGGCAACGCGGCCGGGCGCCCCAGCCCCACCCCCCCAGATGGGGCTCCGTCAGCCCGGAAGGACCTAGCCCGCGGCTTGCCACCAACTCAGCCGCACACAGTCCCTGGAAAACAATCAATAAACATTTATTTGATACAGTCATTTTTAATACATACAGTTGATGGCCCGCCCGTGCCACTCGGCCTGGGGGCGGGGACGAGGACCGGGACAGTCACGAGGTGAGCAGGGCCCGAGCTCGTCGTCAAAACATCTTGCAAATAAACACTTTGTAGATAGAATATATATGTTTATATATGGTTACAAGGGATAGCTGGGACCTCTCTTTCAAAATGCACTTATGTACGGAGAACTGGCATTAAAAACAAACCAAGAAAGCCAAAGTACAGGATGTGTGGCTGCCGGGGAGGAACTGGCCGGCCCCTTTGAACCTGGTTCCAGGACTAGCCTCCTGAGGCCGGCAAAGCGAGGACGGCGACAGCCCTGCCTCCCGCAGGTCAGGGTGCATCGACCGTCCTTTCCCTTCTGAACTAGAGGAACGGGGGTAGGGTGGGGGGCAGCAGGCTACAGCTGAGGGCCACCAGTCAATCAGGAGACGCCCTCATCCATCTGCCTTTGCACAAGCAAATAAAGTGCATCCTATTTTTGTGTGAAGTTCCAGCCCTTTCCTGTTCTCAGGGGAAGGGGGTGGGCAGGGCCAGAGGTAGATCTTCAGAAAGGGACCCGGCATTGTGCCCTGGCTGCGTCTTGGGCACAGTCCATGCCTACTACGCCCTGGAGTCTGCCACTCGGACCCTCTCACAGAAGGTGTCAGCCAGCTTGCCACTGCATCACCAACCAGAGCCAGGGGAGTCGGGAGGGGGTCGAACCCACCAGCCACTTTGGGCAGCAGCCCCACACCCTCTTTAGGGGGTTAAAGTGCCAAACTTCAAGTTATCCAAGCCCCCACCTCTTCCCACACATCTAGGCGGGGGTCCCACTCCAGGGGCCATCTGTGGACTTTGGAGGGTGACCTGGAAACACCCCCCAGCAAAAACCAGCCCCTTACACCCCAAGGGCCAAGTACCTGAGAGGCTGGGGCAGGCTGTCCTCAGTAGAGGTGCTGAGGTCCAACCTCCTCCAGCCATTGGTGACAAGGGCAGAGACAGGGTGCCTGGGGGTCCTGTCGGTGCCTGCTGCCCTCTCCCCTCCTGAGGCTGCCCCTGTGGTGGCTGCCTGGCCCCCTGCACCGGCTCTACACCACAGTGATACCCAGGGCACAGGAAGGAAGCCTCCTGTCGCAGAGCCCAGCCCGGTGCCCACCCTGCCTGATACTGGGTCACCCCCGTGTGCCTTGTGTGTGATAGGAAGGATCCACATCTCTATCCCCCTCCCTCCACCCTCAGCCAGGCTGCCCAAGAGCAGAGCCTCTGGACAAAGCCAGAGACAGGCAGCATGCCCTGGCCCCTCAGCCTGGGAAGTGCCCCCATGCAGGGTGTGGAGAGCCCATCCAGCGTGAAGCCCCTCCTCTCCAGGGCTGGTGAGGATGGCAGCTTGGGGCAGGAGGGTGCCCAGTCAGTACTGCCTCCCTGAGGGACCCTAGCCCAGCCTCCAGATCCACCGTTGGCACCAGGAGATCCTTAGCACCAAAATGTCAGATTGTTGTAAGTCTTTGTATAAAAAACAGAATAAAAAAAGGTTGTTACTTGTCACAGCCACAAGACTGGCATCCACTACACACCCAGGAGAAACAAGCACACAGGAAAATATCAAAATTCACATCGTCCAGGATCGGCAAGCCGAGCCCTCAGCCCACCCACCCCCATGGAAAATAGCCTCCATCCAAACCAGTGACGCTGAGTGTCCTCTTCCCAAGGCAATGCCACAGCTGGAAGGCGGGGCTCAGGAGGAGGCCAGAGGTGTCGACCCACTCCTCCAGGTGCCCTGGACTCCAGCCTGAACCCAACTAGCAGGCCTCGCTGTCCTCAAGGCCCCAAAGGGAGCCAAGACAGCACAGAGCTCCCATCAACCCACTGTGACCTTGGCCAACCCCTCCCCGGCCTTCAGCTCTCACATCAAAAGACCATACACCCAGAAACAAAGGGGCAGGTATAAAAAGGGTAGGGTGTTCCCTCAGGAACCTGGCCACAAGGCCAAACCTGACCAGCAGACAGAAGGCTGCTTCCTGCAGTGGTCACTCCACAGAGCTGTGCTGTTCCTGCCCCACATGCCCACGGCCCCAGGGCCCAGACTGGCCTATCCCTAACCTAGCAGGCTATCCCAGCCAGGCCCGCAGTGACGGCAAAGCTGGAGCGGGCTCCATGTGGCCCAGCTCCTGCAGCCCTGCAAGCGGAAAACCAGAGGCCCCCCTTGCCCCAAGCAGGGAATACACTGGGGATGGCAGAGAGCCATGGGCACAAGCCAGTGGTCGCGGCCCAAGCACAGCAGGGTCACATGGGCAGGGAGGTGGCTGGAGAGGTAGAGAACAGAAGCTGAGGAACCAGAGACGGGCAGGGTGAAGGGGACGGACCATCGGGTCAGCACGGCAGCGGTCAGACTCAGGGTCTGTCCAGGGAGGTAGCTGGGGGGGCTGGGGTTCCAGTGTTGGGTGGAGAGGCGAGGCTCTTGAGGTACCCTCGTCAGCCCAGAACCAGGGACCCCGAGCCTTGGGCCTGAGGAAGCAGGTGGGGCACGCCGCTCACGTGCCTGGGGCCAAAAGGCATCTGGCCGCTCTGTACCACCCCCACGGCACCGAGGCCCAGGCTGCAGACCCTCCTCTGCCCCTCCAGGCTCTGCCAGCCCGAGCCCTCCAGGCGATTGCACTTCTGTGACTGCCCTGGCCCTTCTCAGGGAGCCCCAGCCCCGGGGGGCCTGCAGCAGCTGCTGCCCCACTGGACAGAGGAGGAGGCAAGGATGGGGCTGGGGAACTGGCGGGCAGGGCAGCCCAGAGCTAGCTACCCCACCCCAGACAGAGGAGGGCTCGGCCAGCATGGGGCCGGGCCCTGCCAACCACTGTGCTCACTTCTCGGGGGACTTGCTGGCTCCCATCTTCCGGCCAGTGGAGCCCCGGGCCCCCTTGTCTCTGCCTCCCGGGGGCCAGTCCTCCTGGCAGGGGGGCATCTTGGGCGCAGGCTCTTCAGGGAGCTGCTCCTTGGGCCTGCGGCCCCGCTTCTTCCCGCCTGCCAGACTCTTCTCCTCCTTCCTGGGGGCCAGCGATTCCTGGCTCCTGTATTTGGGCGGCGAGTCTGCCGAAGTGCGGAACCAGTTCTGGGGAGAGAAAAGCAGCCGTAGAGGCCCCGGGATGGAGGGCACCGAGCTGCTCGGCCCTCAGGAAGCTGAAGCCGCTCGGACGAGAAGCGCGAGAGGCCGGGTCTCTCCTCGTTGACCTCTCCCTCAAACAGACCGCCCACCCCCACAGCCAGCCAGTCCAGCCAGGCACAAGGCCCCGCGGCCCCTCGCACAGGCTGCGCCACCCACCTCTGCGTGGGCCTTGAGGATGTGGTACTTGACGCCACTCTCAGAGCTGAACTCCTTCGGACACAGCAGACAGCGGTACTTCCCCACCAGGTGGTCTCCCTGCAAGACACGGCAGCCCGCCCGGGGGTTGGCCCGGGGCTTCCCCACCTGCCGCTCCGGGAAGATGGCTCGGCTCCTCTGGGAAGGCCAACATGCCCCTTGGCACCCACGGGAGCAGCCCGAGGGCAGAACAACATGGGACTGACTGACTAATGTCTGTGGCTGGGGGATGGCAAAGGGTCCTGGGCCGAGGTGGTCACGGAGCACCAGCTAGTCCTGGGCTCACAGGAGAGGCTGCCCAAAAGGCCACGTCGCATGTCCCATGTGGGTCCCGGGGCAATGCTGAGCCCTGCACACGGAGGACAGCCCAGACTCACCTTGCTGCAGCTGGCGAGGTGGGCCTTGAGGCCGGACACGCTGGAGTAGATGGCTTCACAGCACTGGGCGGGAGACAGTCATGGGGAGGATCTCTCGGCAGCGCCCCCACACAAATCATAGCTCCTACCCCAGGGAGACTTGTGGGCGGGCTGGGCCTCGGGGGCTGAGGTCGAGGCCTCTCTGCCAACAGGGTTCTGTCTGAGCACCCTGCAGAGGCCCAGGGACCACAGGTAGGCCGGCCACTTGGAAGGCTGTCACCCAGGCCCATACCTGGGCTCTGTCCCTAAGTCCCAGCGCCCCCACGCCCACCCACAGCCTGCCCCAGCTCACGTCATTGGGACAGTTGACGTGGCCTTTCTCCTTGACTTCGTTCTTCCACGTCTCTAGCAGCTGGGGGTTGAGCGTGGGGAGGCCTGGCCGAGTGTAGTTGAGCTGTGAAAACAGGCAGGCAGGCACCGGGGTGAGGCCGGCAGTGGGGCAGAGCTGACAGACACACGCCCACTGCTCTAAAGAGGCCCTCGCCTCCGAGGTCAACGCCGGCCCCGGCCCAGAGGCAGGGCCATCACAGGAAACGCACGTGGAGGCACATCCTGCTCAGAGCCCAGGCGCTCACCCGCGCTGTCTCAGGCACCAGGTCATCCTTCATCCGCCTCTTGGTCCAGTCTCGGGCCAGTTCGTCCTCTGCGATCTCCTGCAGGTGGAACACGGCCACCTGGGCCGATGTGCGGCGGATGCGGCCGCTGGGGGTCCGCTCGACACCAAACAGGTCCTCGGCCTCAGGGGGCTTGTCCTGGGGCTCCTCGGGGGGCTGCAGGGGAGGAGGCCCAGGTGAATGACAGGAGCCACGTGGCCTGCAGGTGCGGGGAGCCGGGCATGAGCAGGTGGGGGGCACACACGCTCGGTGCCTGAAGGACAGGACCGCCACTCACCGGGGCGGCGTGCTCCGAGCGCACGTGGTAGTCATGGCCGGCCTTGGAGCGGTAGGTCTTGCCGCAGTGGGCACAGGGGAAGGAGGGACTGTCTACCTCGCAGGGCGGCTTCCCACAGCGTTGCTGGTGGTACTGGTAGCCCATGAGGCTGGAAAAGGCGGCCCCACAGCCCTGGGGGTCACAGGTCAGTAAGAGGCCAGCAAGGGGCTGTGCTCGCCCCACACTGTCCCACCTGTTGTCCCACTGACCTCCTGGGGGCAGCGCAGCCTCCCCATCTGCTTCAGCACCTTGCGCAGTCGCTCGCGCTCCTCCTGCTCACTCCCCTCGGAGGCCTCTGTGTCAGAGGGCTGGGGGGCAGGCCCTGCCTCAGTGCCAATCCCCATAGGGCCCCTGCCCCAAGCTGGAGCCACTGATGTCCATGGGCAGGCAGTGTGGGAGTGAAGGGTCAGCGGGCAGGGCTGGGCAGGGTGGGTGAGATGAAGGGAAGGCCTGTGGTGAGTGTCAGTGGTCAGGTTGGGGGCAGCTGGGCCCTGTGGCGTACCTTGGCGCTATGCTCAGCCATGGTGTGGTAGTTGAGACCGGCCTTGGACTTGAACTGCTTCCGGCAGTGCTGGCACTTGAGGGCATCCTGCAGCTGCAGACAGGTGGCCCATGAGAAGCTGCTCTGGGCACCTCCCCACAGAAGCCCTGGGGCAGCTTACCTTCTGACACACCTCCATGTGCTTCCTGAGCCCCACGAGGGTCTTCCGGGTGACCACGCTGCAGGTGGGGCAGACAGCCTCGCCCCGTTCGTGAATGGCCCGCTGCCACTGCTCCTCAGCGCCACCTGCGGGCAGAGCCAGGGCCTCAGGGCTGTCTTGGGCTCCCAGATGCCCTGAACGCCAGCACACAGCCCAGGGTCCACACTCAGCCCCGCTCTGTGTGGCCGGGAACCACCTCACGGTAGCCCCACCTTGGGTTGAGTGGGCTACGGGGGCCGGCACCTCCTTGCTGACAGCGTTGGCAGGGGCCGGCACCTTCTTCCAGACGTCCTCAGGGCCAGGCCCCTCCTGCTTCTTGGCACGGGAGCCTCGGGATTTGTCTTCTGCCTTGGCCAGGCCTGTGTGCACATGTGGGTGGCGCAGGAGTGGGCCGAGGGCTTGAGCGCACCGTGCGTGAGCCCAGCCCCTCAGGAGCCTGGCTGACAGGGGCCTCACCTTTGAGTCCGAAGGTTCCCGAGATGGATGGCTGCTCCCCCGTAAACTTCTTGGGTGTCTTCTGCTTCCTTCCTGACTCAGGGGAGAGAAAAGATCTGGTCAAATAACCATCGGGAGGCTGGCCGCTGCCCATCCTGCCTGTTGCCGCACCCCTCGCCCCGTCTTACTGTGCTTCATGCGCTCAGCTCCCTCCTCAGGCCGGGACACAGGCCCTGTGGCCCTTGGCGCCTCCTTGCCCCCCATGGGCCTGCTGCCCAGAGAAAGGGGGCCACTGCTGGGCTCTGTGCTGGGCTGGAAGGCTGAGCCCTGGCCTGCGCTGGATGGGCCACACTCCCCGCTCTCTGGCCGGGCCTGCTTGGGTGGGCGGGGGCAGGTGTCCAGGCCTTCCGCAGCCCTGCAGGGAGGCACGGAGTAGGAGGCAGGGGGATGAGGGACTCGCTGTGGCCGTTATCCCAGGCTGCAGCCAGTGAGCACCCTACCCCTGACCTGGAAGGCACCCCTTACCTTTTCTTCCCACTGGCCCTTGCCGTGGCCCGAGGAGTTTTGTTCTCAGGCTTGGTCAGCAGCACCATTTTGCAGGACGGTGTGTGTCTGCCGATGGCCACGGGCCTGCTGACTGTCAACAGCTTACTGACCACAATGGGCCTGCTGACTGGCACGGGCTTTGAGACTGGCACAGGTTTTGTAACCGTTACAAGTTTTGTCATTGGCACCGGCTTGTTTATGGTCACTGGTTTGGTGACTGGCACTGGCTTGCTGACTGGCACGGGCTTGCTGACTGGCACTGCCTTGGTGACGGGCACAGACTTGGTGACTGGCACAGCCTTGGTGATCGGCACGGGCCTACTGATTGTCACTGGTTTGGTGACCGGCACAGGCTTGCTGACCGTCACTGGTTTGGTGACCGGCACAGGCCTGCTGACCGTCACTGGTTTGGTGACCGGCACAGGCCTGCTGACCGTCACTGGCTTGGTGACCGGCACAGGCCTGCTGACTGTCACTGGCTTGCTGATCCCGATGGGTTTGCTGACACCCACGGGCTTGCCAATAGTGACAGGCTTGCTCACTCCAATGGGTTTGCTGACCCCAACGGGCCGACTGATGGTGACTGGCCGGCTGACTGGCCCAGGCTTGGGGGCAGACAGGGGACGGTCCATGTGGTTCCAAATTCGGTGCTTCTCCAGCTGAGTCTTGGAGGTGAAGGCGGCCTCACAGAGGGGGCAGGGAAAGGTCCGCCTTTCTGAGATGGCGCCCTGGGTGGAGAGGGCAGGCGTGGGATGGGCTGCCCAGGCCTCTGTGCAGACACACCCAAGCCAACAGCCGGGCAGGGTGGGTTCAGGCCTCCTCTTCCCCAGCCCACAGCCCCTTACCCCTTGGCACCGCTGGTAATGGTACTTGAGCCCGTAGATGCTGGGAAACTCCAGCCAGCACCCTGAGTTGGGACACTTCACCCGTGAGTGCACCTTGAATTCATCTTTCCACTGGTTCATCAGGGAGAGCTGGCGTGGGAAAGGCCAGGCTGCTGACCCTCAGCCACCCCGGCCTTAGCGGACCCGAGCCCCAGACTCAGCACCTGCCCTGGCCGGCAGGGCAGGCAGACTGCAGGAGCCCTTCGGCCTTAGGACCGCAGCAAGATCCAGGCCACCCTGAGCAGTGAGGGTGCTCGCGAGGGGCCCTCGACCATGGGCCACACCACGAATCCCTAGGCAGAGTGGCCCATTGATGTGGGCTCAGGGCGTGGTGCTGATACGTGGATGGCAAGCAAAGGCAGGGCAAAGGCCTTAACAGGCAGACCCCAGCATGAGCCCACCCAGCCCGCGGGGAGCTCACGGGAATGTCTCGGAGGGCCTGGTTCTCAGCTTTCGGACGCCCCTTTTTCTTCCCTTCTGTCCTGTCGCTGGCTGGACTTCCCGGGTCAAAGCAGAGTGGGGCCTGGCTAGGCACTGTGTGCCCGCCCCGGGACACCGGCAACCCTGCAGCACACAGCACATCAAGGCTTGGAGCTGCGCTCCCTGGAGTCTCCCCTGCTCCCCAGGAGGCTGGTGAGGCCGGGGAAGCCTCACTGCCCTCCCTGATGAGGATGGGGCGGGTGGAAGGCTGTCATCAGCCCAGGACAGGAATCCAGGACCCCCGGACGCCCCCACCCTGGGAAGGCTCTCAGGAGCCCAGGCAGCTACCTGGACCCAGAGCTGGATATTCAGGAGGTGTCCACACCTAGCACAGCTGCTGTGCCAGCCTGGAGTTGACCTCATCCTGACCCTCTTACCCAGCTTTGGATCGTGCCGCACGGGAAGCCAGGCCTCGTTCTGGCTGCCATCCTTCCCAGGCCCGCTCCTGCTGGATCCCAGGAGCCGGCGGCCGCCTCCAACACAGAAAGGGTCAGCCATTGCTGCAGAGCGAGTGGACAGACCTGTGAGGTCCATCAGGGCCGGCTGTCTTGCACCCTCTCCCGCCCACAAACAAACCTGCTCATTGGCGGCAGAAAAGGGAACCAGCCTGCCTGTGCTCTCGGTCACAGGGAACGCAGGTGATGGGGGGCTTCTAGTTCAGGGGAGTGACTGCCCAGCTGCGCTCTCCCTAGGAGACCCCATCAGCTCGGCAGGATCTCACCCCTCCTGAGACCCTCCCCAGGCCCAATGGGCTCCATGCGTCCTGGACACAACCCCGAGGTGCCGAGAGCCACGCACCTCATGCCCAGCGCGGGGTAGGCGGCCCCAGGAGAGGCAGGTGCTTGGGCAGCAGGCTAACAGCATTCCTTCTGGGGCCAATTATGACACCACATGGCTGTTGGCACACAGGCTGTGTTGGCCGGGCACCCTGGGACACCTTCCTTTCAGCCCCACCCAGACCCAAGGCGATGCCACCCTACCCAGGCAGGTGCCCCTGGATCCTCCTCCCCAAAGCACAGGTGGGAGATGGCCAATGCGGGCACTGAGGCCCCTAAACACTCTCCCCAACTATGTGCGTCCCTTTCCAGAGGCAGGACTGGGTTCCGGTCCCTGTGCTAGTGGATCCTCTCCTGTTTGCTCCTGCTGGGGCCCCTCCACCCCGATGGAGGCCTCATGCAGGCTGGGCTCCTCGGCCAGCCTCCACCTGACTGACCATCCTCACCTCTCCTGAACCTCTCTGTCCCCATCTACGGGGCCACCAGCACCACCCAGCCACAGGGAACACCTCCCACATGAGCAGAGGGCTCTGAGCTCAGTCCTGCTGGGTCCTCTGATAGGGACGCCCAAGGCTGCAGAAGAGGGTGGGGAGGGGGCTATGTGAACAAGTGACCCTTCTCCTGGCAGTTTCCAACTAACTTAGATCAGAGAGGATGGGAAGGGAGTTACAGAAGCTATCAGTGAGGTTGAGGTCAGAGGTCAGGACGGTCACTGCCCATTGCCAAGGAGGTGCCCGTATCCTGGGCCTGGAGAGAGTTACAGGTTTGGAAAGCTCTGAACAAACTTCCCTGCAACTTCCAAAGGAGACCCGCCAACATCAGTCACCCAGCCCCGTGATGACCTCCAGGGGCCTTCGGTGCAGATTCCTGCTGGGACCCCTTTCCAGTCTTTATCCGGTTTGAGGGGAGAATTCAAAGTTGGGGGGCCTGGGGCCAGGAGGCAGAGACCCTCCTTCATCCAGGCCTGCAACTCTCACCACAGGCGGAAGGGCTTCCACCCTCCGGAGCGCCCGGCAGGGACAAAAAGGGGGGGCACCACGCGCTGACCACGGGCAGCCACCGGGCACGGCCAGGCCCCTGGGCCCCGGACCCAGCTCCGCGCCGGCGCCCTGAGAGGCCGCCAGGGGATGGCGCGGCGGGGGCCTCCGCACACCTGTCACCTGCGCGGGGAGGCCGGCCTGGCCCCGGAAGGGCCGATCGCGGGCGCCTGGGGAGGGGGAGGCATGAACCAAAATGGCGACTTTTTCTGCAGGAGGAGGAAGGGGAGGAGGAGGAGGGGAGGGGGAGGGGGAGGGGGCAGGGGGAGGAGGGGAGGGGGCAGGGCCGCAGCGCCAGCGCGGGGCCGGGCGCGGCGCGGGGCGGCGGGCGGGGGCGCGGGCGCGGCCCCCTGCGCGCGGGGTCAGGGCGGCGGCGGCGGCGGCGGGGCTGGCCGGCGCGGCGGGCGCTTACCTGCGGGCCCGCGGGCCGGAGGCGGGGCGGGGGCCGGGCGGCGGCGGACGGCGGCGCGGGCGGGCGCGGCGCGGGCCGGCGGCGGCGCGGGCTGCGCACATGCGCGCTCCCGCCCCTCCCGCCTTTGACAGCTGGGGCGGGACTCTCGCGGTATCCTGCGCGGAGGGCGGAGGGAGGGGGCGGCCGGCGGGGCTGGGGGCCTCCAGCACCAAGTGGCCATTCTGCTGCCCATGGGCGGGAGGCGCTGTTCCAGACAGTGGGGTAAACTGAGGCACCCTAGGGGCGCGGGGTCCTGCCCAGGCCCAGCGCGCTCGCATGGAAGCCAGCGGCCGCCGCTCCGTCCCGGCCTTGAGGCGCCCCGGGTCCTGGCCGAGCTTGGCGGCGTGGCCTGCAGAGCCGGGTCCGGCCTCTTCCATCCCGCCGCCGCGCCTCCGCTTGTGGCCGCCTCGGGACCTGGCTCCTGGCGTGAGGCCGCGCTTCACCGCGTTGCTGACCATTCAGACCAGCTGTCTGCTCTGGATGGGTGCTCCTGGACAGGGGCCACTGCCTCGCTTCTCTGTGCCCAGAACTGGGCCCCCTGCAGGGGAGCTGAGGTCAGGCGTGGGGGTGATGGACAGCAACCCCGCCAGGATGCGCGAATGAATGAAAGGGGACGCAGTGCTAGTTGGAAACGAAGTTACTTACAAGGTGCGCCTCCTTCCCTGAGGCCATTCCCACCCCAGCCGCACACTGCACCCCCACTGACCCCACCTCCACCCGGGGCAGGTCTGGCTGCACTGCTGGGGGCATGACAAAAGATGGCACATTTGAGGTCCACTTCTCACAGGGACCCTGGGGATCTGCTTCCTCAAGGCCAAGGTCTCACCATGAGGCAGAGGCAAGCTGGGGCACCCTGTGGAGAGGTCAGTCCGTCAGTCCTTCCCTTGGAAACCAGAGAGGCCTGTGTGACCACAGGATTGACATACGATTTTGGGAGAGGTCAGCATGCGTGTCCTGAGGTACATCCAAGGCTGTCAGCTTTCCCTGTGTAAGTCTGCATGTCCTTGTATGTGATGTGTCAGTGTCGCTAGGTGTGTGTCCGAGTGACCATGTATATTGGTGACCATGTATGTCAGGCAACATCCTCTTTGGACGTCAGTGTCAGGTAGAAGATACTTGTGTTAGTTTCCAGATGGGAGTGGAGTATGTCCAGACCTAGCAGACGTATGCTCAGGCTGCAGCATGTCTGGAGGTCAGGTCTCATTTAATGTCATGTGTGTTTCTGTAGGTTGGGGTCATTGTGTGTCTAAGATAGTGTTGGAGTGTGTTGCTCTGGTTCTGGATGCTGGAGTCATTGTGTCTCTGTGTTTGTGTCTGTGTGCTCAGACTGCAGGGGTTGGTTTATGCCTCTGAGTTACTATTGGTGTCTGGCTACTGCCTACATACATGTGTCAGAGCATGTGCTATGACCTGTTTTTTATGTTAGGGCACTGCCCTGTCGCAAACTACATGGGAGTCCCCAAAAGATAGCCACATCAAATCTCTGGAACCACCCTGCTGGTGTTGCTCAGTGGTTGTGTCAACCTATGAACCAGGAGGTCATGGTCAGTTCCTGGTGAGGGCACATGCCTGGGTTGCGCCTAGTCCCCAGTGTAAAGCATGTAGGAGGCAGCCGACCGATCTCTCTCATCAATATTTCTTTCTATCCCTCTCCTTTTCTCTATCTAAAAATCAATAAAAACATCTTTAAAAAAAAAATCTCTGGAACCTGTGAGTGGGAGCTTCTTTGGAAAAAGTCTTTGTAGATGTGATGAAGTGAGGGTCTTGAGATGAGGTCGTCCTGGATTATCAGTGACAGTGTCCTCGTGAGAGGGAGATAGGAGGCAGACAGAAGGCGGAGTGACCATGACTGTGAGGTTCTGGACAGTGACGTGTCTCTGGGCCCAGCGGTCCTCAGCAGCCACCAGAGCTGGGAAGGGTGAGGAAGAGGTCGCCCCAGCCCTGCTGGTCTCAAACTGTGGCCTGCAGAACCGGGAGGGAATTGGTTCCTGTTGCATGAAGCCCCCAGCTGCCACTGGTTACAGCAGCCCAGGAGCCTGGCTCACCTATGCCGGTGTCCAGCTGCAGTCCTCGGTCTGAGCCCAGGCTCTGCTCTGGCTCCTCCCCCTCGTTCCTGGGTTAAACAGGTGCCTGCCACGACGCGGAACCACTGCCCCCTGGTGGCATCAGCAGGAGGCAGCTGGGCCGGGAAACCCCTGCTCCTGCTCAGGGCAGCCCCACCCCCAGAAGCCAGCTGACTGGACACCACACTGGGACACTTGAGAACCAGGTTTATTTCTGGTCTTTTTATCAGAATATAAAAAAAGTGAACGCAAAAACAAGAAAGACAAGACGAGCTTGGGGGACAAGACAAAGGAGGGAGAAGGGGGCAGAGACGGGAGGGGCCCTTTGGAAAGGGCGAATTGCAATGGCACAGAGTGGGGGACACTCAGGGCAGCCAGACAGGGCAGGGGACTTTCCAGGGGGATGGGCACCAGGCCAGTTTCCTGAAGCCAGCTCGGGGCACAGAGCAGGTTGGGGGCTCAGCCTCGTCTGTGCCGGAGGTTCGGAAGCCCCAGAGGAGCAGCAACCAGGGAGCAGGAGACAGGAGGCTCAGGACTGCCTCCCGGACCCTCTGCCGGCAGCCCCGCCCCACTGCAGGCCTCCTGCGACTGCGCCTCACACTGGCTGGGCCTCCAGTGGGCAGCAGGGGATGTCTCTTAGGAGAATCTAGGTTTTCCCTGGAAAAGGACAGGGGAATGCCCGCCCATCACTGTGCCTCCAGGGTGGCTCCATGAGCCTGAGAGGAGAAGCTTTCCCAAATCTAAGGCCAGGATCGGGCTGCCCGTGCCGGCGCGGGTCCCTCTCCTGCCTGTCAGGTCCTAGGCTCTTGGGCAATCCTGAACCTCTCTACCCTCACTTCCCAGGAGTAGATGCGGCATGTGAGGGGCACATAAATAATGAGTGAAGGTAGTGGGCAGGTGCCTGGCCAGGGACACTGGTGACCATCATCTGGGCAGCATGTTGGCCTGCTGGGCCTGGGTAAGGGCAGGGAGTGGGCACACAGCATACAGAGCCTGGCAGTGTATCCCCCTCTGTGGGTAGTCCTCTGTGGGTAGTGCTGGGAGAGTGGGGAACTGGACGAGTGGCAGACAGCTCTCGTCCTGGGAGAGGACAGGACGCCCGGAGGAATATAAATAAACAAATACTCCCTGGGAGTCTGGGGGACATCCAAACCCCGCTCCTGCTCCAGGT